AGTGCAAAGCCTCGCCCACACTCCCTGCAAACATAGGGCTTCTCCCCTGTGTGTGTCCTCTGGTGCTTGATGAGGCCTGAGTTTACTGCAAAGCCTCGCCCACACTCCCTGCAAACATAGGGCTTCTCCCCTGTGTGTGTCCTCTGGTGCTTGATGAGGTTTGACTTAACTGCAAAGCCTCGCCCACACTCCCTGCAAACATAGGGCTTCTCCCCTGTGTGTGTCCTCTGGTGCTTGATGAGGCCTGAGTTTACTGCAAAGCCTCGCCCACACTCCCTGCAAACATAGGGCTTCTCCCCTGTGTGTGTCCTCTGGTGCTTGATGAGGCTTGACTTATCACTGAAATCTTGCCCACCACCTCCATTCTTGACTCCTGCAATTCCTGAGATTCCTACCCTCACAAATAATTTGCTTGTGCCATCTGGATTCACTTTCTGGTCTGTTCTGAGCTTTTCCTTCATCATTTTCTCATTCTCCCCAACACTCCCCATTTGTCCTTTGAGTGGGCTAGAAAAGGCATTTGAAATCTCCCTCTGCCTTATCTTTTCATGTGTATGTTTGGACCTTTCTTTGACCTCTTGACCTCTTACTATGTCATTCTGGCTGTGTGGATTAGAATGTTGCTGCTCCTGAAGCTCATTCACTGGACAGGGATCCCCTGGTATGAAGTTTTTTCTTGAAGATGTTCTTGGGCAGACCTGAGAGGGATGACTGTGTTTCACATGTTGACTGAGGAATTTCTGGCTGGAGAAGGCCAAGGAGCACGAGGAACAAGGATGGATGTCTGACTTTGGTTCTGCTAAAAGAGGAAGTTTTGGATCAGGGCAGACGTAGACAAGATATCTGGCATTTGCTTTGCTTCATGATAACCCTACTATTCAGTCTTCATGTGTTCCCATTCTGCCTTTATTCACTACGTCTTCTGCAGAAATCCATAAAACCTATATCAGGGACCCTTTCTACATGTCAGCTAGACTAGGGACTTCCCAGTATCAGCAGCTTCACTCTTGACATAGATGGAGCTGTAGTCACCACGCTCCACAAACTATAAGTATCTTCCAAGCCATGTCTTATTTTCCCTGACCATCCTCTTCCATGCTTCATGTCACTCAGATCCCTGAGCACCTTTCCTGATACACTGTCTGCAGATTTTCATTCTATTGAGAAGTGACAATTTTTTATGACTTAGATGGAATTGTCCTTAGTGACTTTTCCTAAGAGAAAAGGGCTTTATTAAGTTGGTGTCCACCCAGCCTGAAGATCTGTAAATGTGTGGTTAAAGACAGCATCTGTAAGTAAATTTAAATTTGAGTCTCCCCATTCAAAAAGACATATTTAATTGAGGACTCTCGAATGCCTGGTTCTAATGGAAATAGGATTCAGGTTGGACAAGGTACTCTGCATCAGAAGCCATGATTCTGATTGTTCTTCTTCCTACTGACACAGAGCATGATTAATTTGCATGATTAATTAGTTGATCAAAGAATAATGACATATGCACATTATTTAGGAATATGGAAGAAATTAAGAATTGAAATGGTCAGAAGAACCTGGATTACTAAAAATGAAAATTATAGTTTAAATATCTATGATCATAAAAAAAAAAAAGAACTTGGCTCAGTGAGAGCAGGTAAGGCTCTTGAGAATTTCTTTTTGGCCTCTAAATTTTGTGCATAAAGTACTTAAAAATAAAACCAAAATGAATATTTAAAAATATTAATTTTAATTTCAGAAGTATCTGATTTGAAAGTTTACTAACTTTAGGCTGCATTTCACTCTACTTAAGAATTGAAGCAGTTCGAGGCCAGCCCAGGCAAATAGTTTGCGAGACCCATCACAAAAAAGGGCTGGTGGAGTGGCTCAAGATGTAGGCCCTGACTTCAAACCCCAGTATGGAAAAAAAAAAAAAATTGAAACCTGAAAATTCCCAAGGAGAATTCTTTCTTTCATTCTTTTTAAGAAATCATAGTGGGGCCCACCTTTCCCTGCTGTGAGCTCTTTCTTCCACTTGCTGCCCCACTTGATGCCCAGCTCCTGGCCATACTCGTCCCCGTACCAGACCAATAGCTCACACCCTGGCCTGATGACCCTGCAGGTTCTGTAGAAGATCTGCCTGTGGTACTGAAAGGCCACCAGGTTCTGCTCCTCATCAAACCTGGCACAGTTCACATACCTGGGGTTGAAGCAGACAAAGGGAAGAAAATACCAGGTCACCAGTTTTAGCTCTCTGCCAGATACCTGCATCCATCCCTTTACTTCGTGGTCAATGCCTCTATGCTTTCACTTCCCCGCTCCCCCCTGCCCAGCTTCAGAACCTCTTGTTTTTACTTGCATTTCTTTCACAAGGGCATATGCACTCCTTAAACCTACTTACAGTGCTCATCCAGTCTAGAATGCTAAGTGCACAGTTTTCAAAGCCCAATTCCAGACTTTCCTCCAATTTTGACTGGTCATAAAATTCTGTGACCTCCAGCTTCTCTAAACTCTAAATCAATTTCTGGTTTACACCACAAACTTGGTTTTGGTCATATACTCTGTTTCTAGATTAGCACACATTACTCTACATTCAGCCATTATTCTATACTCAAGTCATTTTCTTTGGAGAGGCCTCCTGCAGTACCTGTCCAGGTACCATGCACCTGACTCTCCCAAGTTCCCATAGAAGCTTTAGAGGGTTCATTTGTCTTAGAAGCATAACAGAGAAGTAGTAGTTCATTCATATTCTCTGTCCTTTGATGAAATAACGACTCCTCACAGAAAAGGACTGGGACACACAGCATACAGACCCACAGCCCCTCTGTTAGGGTTCTCCCCAGGCTCAGAACCCAGAGGTAGTATCTGAGGCTAGGGAGATTTTCTTCCCTCACAAACTAAAGGCTCATTGTTGTAGGTTGAGTTGGTACAGTGTACTTCTTGAAAAAAAGGGAAAATAATAGTTAAATATTCCAATAATAAAATGTTTCATTTTTGTCGAAGTATATCCTCCACAAGGACATGGGTTGTATGATCTTTTTAAGTAACAAAGTCCATTTGCTGAACGAAAATACAACAAATGCATTATAAATATTGAATCAAGTATAAATCCAGTGTAGCCAATGAATCTCAGCCTCCTCAAGGCTTACTCTAGTGTTCCAATTTTGTCTAGCATGGAAATTCATGCTTTGCTAAAAATAAATTATAATATTTATATTTTTATTTATTTTTTTCCTGAATGTTCATGATATGAAAGAGCATTGTGTAGAGCAAAAGAGGAACAGAGCACGTAGAAACCATTGAGGGAGGTGTGATAAGGAAGGGAATCAGGCTTATGAGGGACAAAGATTCCTTCCAGAACCCAGAAACGTACTGACCTTACCTCATCCAATTGGCCTGGGACTTATCCTTTCCGTCTACATACTCGTAGCAGTTTCTCCCTTTGGTGATCTGAGTTTTGGAAAGACAAAATAAAGGCTTTGGGGTAATAATCAGCAGAATCATGTTATTTTACTTTTATTGATGCTCTTTTGAGCCTGCATGGATTCAACCACCAGCTGTGACCACATAGGATGCCACTCAGATGTGTTCTACGTGTCTGAGTAGATTTTTCCAGTCAGAACAGAGGCCCCTTATGGGTGGATACACTTCTTTGTCTCTGAATCATTCTGCTCCTACTCACTACCTTTGACATTGAAGTAGGAGTTCCACGTTTGTGTAAAGACCACAGAAGTAACTATGTTGTCCCTGTCTGTGTCCTAGCATGTTGCAGAGATGCAAGGGACATAGGGATCCTGAGAGTGGGGAAAAGGAAGGCATTTCTCACCATCCAGGAGTATCCACTGTTGGCTGCCTCTTCATCCTCTGTGATCTGGCCCTCATAAGGGCCAAAGTGCAGACCCAGTGGCAGATCAGAGGACTCATTCCATACTCCAAGCCCAGCCTCAGGGATGCTGGATGGTCTGATTCTTAGCCCAGAGGGCAGACTAAGGGCTGAGCGATTGTAATGCCCTTTGTCCACCACATTGTCCTTTACAAATGTAGGGGGTCCGTGGGCAGCACAGCTGTTGATGAAGAAGTTCTGGCACTTCTCACAATCTGAAATGAGAGCAGCAGGGATTAGGAAAGGTATATGTACATTTCCAAGTCTAACAACCTTCATAAATAGCATAGCATGCATGCCATTTCCCCTCAGTTCTGTACTCTAAGTCACTAGAATAAGGGGGAAATTTGGAGGCCAAATGACCAGTGAATAATTATACCAGAATGTAACAGCCCTCTGCATGAGTAGGCCTAGAGGGTGACTTACAGAGGTAGTCATCATCCTGGGGCTCGCTGACCTCTTCGTATGCATGACCCTTTCTTTCCCGCAGGCTGTACATCTTTGTTTTCACCTCCTTTCTCCTGAGTTCTAGTTGGAACAGAGGACAGTGAAATCAGAATCTAGAGGGTTTGTCTCCATTTCTTCATAAATTGTGACATCTCTTACCTCAAATTATCATCTATGCTTCTATATACTCTGGTTCCCGTCTCCCAGCTTAACTAGTGATTCAGAGAGACAAAAGACTCTACATACTTCCTACATATAAAATAGTTCACTCATGTATTTCTTCATTAGAATATTGTTGAGGGCACATTATATGTTAGGCATTGAGCAAAGGCCTAGACATATAGCACTAAGAATGTGTGGTCACCCAACTACCAGTCCCATAGCTTAGTCCAGCTTAAGTCTGGCTTATCTGAAGTTCACCCCCCATAGCTAGAGCACCCACATCAACCTTGTTAGAGGACTCAGGGAATTAAAGTCCCCAGATTATTTTCTCTTACCTAGTTTTTGTCTAGGATGCTGTACAGAGGTACTTGCTTCTCCAGGAGAGGACACTGGTTTCTGGGCCTGCTCTGAGTCACTTGTAAATTTCAGTAAATTTTCAGTTCCTGACAATTCCTTCAAACTAGATTCATTACTTAATGGCGCCCTCAGCATTTCCTTCAATGAGAGTCACATATGAAAGCACAATATGTACTTCTGTAGTTCTTTTAAAGCTTGCAACATGTTTTTACATGCATGACTGTAGTTCTTTTAAAGCTTGCAACATGTTTTTACATGCATGACTTAAGTTAATACTTCAAAAACCTTGAAAAAGCTTGAAAAACCTAAGATGTCTGAATATGTGTGGGAAAAGCAAGAGCCTAAGTAGGCTGTGAATCCAGAACTAGAATCCACATTGTAAGGCTGTCTCCCTTCAGTTTTCTCTCATATCTGTGTAAGTGAGACTGAGGGAGGGAGATTACTTGGGAAGACTAGTCAGAAAGCCAACAAGGTTTGTGAATGAAGGTAAAGCTTTAAGAGGGAAAGAGGGCATCTTCTGTAGTTAATTTTTGATGGGACAGGGAAATGTAGAAAAGCAGAGAGGGGACAAATACACCTGTAAAATGAGGTGACAGGGCAGTGAGACAGGGAAGAGAATAGAGAAATGGTTGGCAGAAATGTATCTGGACAAGTCAGTGAGTGATCCTAAAAGTTGCAAATTGTTATACCCTGGAAAGAACAGTTGAGTTTGTAATTAAATTTACTGGCTCCTGTACTAATTTTGCCTGAATAATTAGAAATTCTTCAAGACTTCATCAGAATGAGTCCTTTTAAGGGATTGGACCTTATAACATTCTTCACGTAGGCCATCCACACTATAAATTTCCTGTGTATTTAAGCTTCCCTGAGAGTAGCTTAGTGTACCTATCACTTTGGTATACCAGAGAAGTACTGAGATTGGAACAATCAGTCAGATGAATGATGTGAGGATATATTGTTAAGACAGTAGACTTTTAATGAACTTGAAAATCTTTAGAGAAAGAGTTTTGGATTAGATTTTATCACCAGTGACTATGATTTTAAGCATTTTTTCTGACATTTCTGCATCTCAGTTTCCTTATTTATAAAGTGGTTATAGTTTACTACCTACTTTGTAGGGTTGTTGCAATGTTCGAGTGGGTTTGCTCATGTAAGATTTTAAAATAAAGTCTGGAATATTGTGAAAATAAAACAAGTAGTAGCGATTCCAGCTGATGTTGATTACTTTTAAATGATGATGATGAGAGACATTGTAAAAAAAAGATCAGGAAAGGAAGGCAGTTGTGCCTCTCTTACCTGTGTTTGAATCCTTGAGGAAGGTTTTCTGATCAATAGGATTTGGTAGATACTCACCTTCTGGTGTTTACTCTGTTCTACTCTGAAGGTCATCCAAGGAGGTTTGACTAAAAGATGATGAGAAATCAGTGTTTTAGTTGGTAAATGTTCCCAAACTCTGGGCATTCTCATTGGGAACAGAGAAGACTCCAAGGATGACTCATGGAAATGGTTTCTGAAGTATTAAGGTCAACCCTTCTATTGGGGACACTACCAATTTTATTGAAATTTTCTGAAAAAATAGACAAAACTCATCTTTGTTTCATCTTATGTTTAAAAGATATTTGTTGCATTTATTTAAAAAGATAACTTATTTGGCCTTTGATAACAAAAACACCAAACAAAGTAGGAACAGGAGGAAATTACCTCCACCATAAAATGTTTGCATAGGAGAAACCCATGTCTAACATCATACTCAATGGTGAAAAATTGAAAACCTTTCTTCTAAGGTTAGGAACTGGTATACATAGATTCCCATTTTTGCTATTTTCATTCAACATAGCACTTGAAGTCCTAGCCTGAACAAGTAAGCAAGTAAAAGAAATAAAAGTCATTCAAATGATAAACTATCTGGTAATTTACAATTACAAGAGGTAAATTATCTATTCACAGGTGGCAGGTGTTACACATAGAAAGCCTTAACCACTAGTTTTAAAACTAGTAAATGAATTTTGCAAAGCAGGATATGAAGTCAACACTTAAAAATCAGCTGTGTTTCCATACACTAACAATGAACAATCCAAGAAAGAAATTTTAAAAAGAATCCCACTTACACTAGCATAAAAAAGAATAAAATACTTAGGAGTAAATTTAACCAAGGACACAAAAGATTTGAATATTGAAAACTACAAAACATTGGTGAAAGAAAGACACAAGGGGAAATCATGGCATCAGAATGAGTAAAGAGTTCGTGGATATGACATCCAAAGCATAAACAACAACAGCAAAAACACAAATGGGACTATATTGATCTTAAAAACTTCTGTGCAGAAAATGAAACAATCAACAGAATGAAAAGGCAACCTACACAGAATGAGAGAAAATATTTGCAAGGCATATATTTAATAAGAGGTTATTACCTAGACTATATAAGGAACTCCTACAACTCAGTAACAACCATAGCAACAAGCAACAATACCCCAAATAACACAAGTAAAAAACATGTGGTAAGGACTTAATTTCTTAATCCTAAACCTGTATGTTGAAGACCTAACTCCCAATATGATATTTGGAAATGGAGACCTTGGGAGGTAATTAGAATAAGATGAGGTCATGAGGGTGGGGTCCTCATGCTTTTATAGGAAGAGAGAGACCCTCCCCATCTTGACCTGTTCCTCCTTCCCCAGCCATGAACACACAAAGAAGAGTTCATGTGGACACACAGTGAGATGGAGGTCACCCAGTCAATAAGAAGAGATCCCTCATCAAAACTCAACCATGCAGGCACCCCAATTTTGGACTTCCAGCCTCTAGAAGTAAATTTCTGTTTAATTAACTCAGTACATTGGTATTTCGTTATGGCAGCCTCAGCTGACTAATGCAATGGACAAAAGACTCAAGTAGACAGTTCTACAAAGATATATAAATGGGAAGTAGTATGAGTAGAACTAGCTTATGATCCAGCAATCTGACTTCTTGCTATATATGAAGAAAGTAAACGAGATCTTGAAGAGATGCTTGCACATCCATTGTTACTGCAGCATTATTCGCAATAGCCAAGAGGTGGAAACAACCTAAATATTCACCAAAAAATGAATGGAGAAAGAACATGTGACACATACATATCATGGAACATTAGTCAGCCTTAAACAAGAAAGAAAGCCTGTCACATGCCACAACACAGATGACTCTTGCAGACATTTTTCTAAATGAAACATCCCAGTTACTCTAAGGCAAATATGGCATTATTTCCCTTCTATGAAGTATCTAAAGCAATTGAATTCATAGAAACAGAAAGTAGAATTGTGCTTTCTAGGTTCTGGGGGAAGAGGAAATGGGTGTTGTTCAATGAACAAAGTTTCAACTATGCATGGTGAAAAAGTTCTATTGTACAATGTGCATATAGTTAGCAATACTGTACACTTAAAGTTGTTTAATGAATTTATATTGTGTGATTTCTCACCACCATTGGAGATTTTATATGAGATAAATATGTATTGATGTGTAGGAAACCATGGGGGATATGTTCCCCATGAAGACTGTCTTTCTTTGTCAAATCTTTTGCAGACAATCATACACTGGGCTTTCAATTTTACACAATTTTGAAGAGCTGAATGCCTCTGAAATTCATAGAGGAGGAATCAGAAGGGAAAGGAAGGGGAGGAGAGAGAAGGGAAGGGAAGGGAAGGGAGGGGAAGGGGAGGGGAGGGGAGGGGAGGGGAGGGAATGTAGTTGCTTTCTCCAGTTTGAGCATATTGACTTTTTTCTCCTACATTCTCATGTTCAAGTAGTAGAAGATGAAATGAATGTCCCACTTCTATTTTATAATGATTAGATATTATTTTGTTTACCTTATGCTGTCTCTGATTTGTAATATGTGAGAAAGATCTGGGAAGCTAAATAACTCTCAAACACTCTTCCATATTCAAGACAAAGAATTAGTTTCATTTTGGAGCAAGAGGATCATGTGGCATGATTACATATAAATAATCTTTACATATCATTTCCTCTTCTAAGACATTTATTCCAATAACCAAATGTTATAAGATTAGTATTTGGAAGCTTTGGAGGAGATTTGCAGTTTGATTAAAGTTTCTTTAACTTTTTTGAAGCCTGTTATGGTGGTACATGCCTGTTAATCCCAGCATTCAGGAGGCTGAAGATTCTGAGTTCAAGGCTACATAGTGAGACTGGGCTACATTGTGAGACTGTCTCAAAAACAAAAGTAATTTGCTATCTGATTAACAATGTTTAGCAAAAATGATTCTTTAAAAAAGAGTGATAAAGCATATAGAAGTGGGGAGAATTATACTGGAAAACCTTTACATCTTCATCATTCAGTCTTCTCAGCATTCTCCCATCACTGCTTCAGATCTTTTTAAAAATTCAAAACCCCCCAAAATAAACAAGCTGTAGCAAAGTCGCTTGCCATCCCTTTCTCCTTCTCTTGTGATTTCGTATTTCTTTCTCAGATTAGATTTTAATATATCCCCACTGATCATTTTATTTATAAATAATATGTATTTCACAGATTTTAAAACTTTATAGGAATAGTGTCTTTCTGTATATATTGTCTTGCATCTTGCTTGCTGACATTTAAGTTTTTGAAGAAACATTTTCCTTGTTAACTTTCTGAAACCTAAACTTGGTCTGGTTTCAGGTGACTTCTAAATCCTCCTGGCCCCTCACCTTGCTGCCTAGGTGTCCATTCTTCATCAGAATCTTCATTGTCATCTACCTGAGACTTGACGGCTTGCCTTTGGTGAGACATGAAAGCTGGTCGAGGGGCTCTGAGACCTGGAAAGAAGCAAAACCTTCCTTCTAAAAGGGAAGCAAGCACTGGGAGGAGCAACATAGGGTAGCAGCAATGGAGAGTATCACAACCCTGGGAGAGTGCAGATGGGAGCTCCCCATGGTCAGTGTCAGCATTCAGTCCTGCACTTACACAAAAGAGCAAAGTTTTCTTCCAGACTCATCCCCCTATAGAAGGGAACTGTAGGCAGTTCTAAGAGAGGCCCAAAATAAGAGACTGGGGACCTGTTCACCACCCCCTCCAAGGCTGGTCTGACCCAGGACCTCTTGTTACCTATAGAAATCAGCATATTATAGTTCCTTTTCACATTCCTATAGCGGATTTTCTCCCACTCTCCCATCTCTGCCCATTCTTCCTTGGAGAAGTAAATGGCAATGTCTTTGAAAGTGTCTTTGACCTGGAGGGGAAATCAATGAACAGATTCCTTGTAATCAGAAACGAGGAGTTGGCCTGGCTCCCTGGGTGGTCTCTGTGAACAAGACAGAACTAAGCCAAGCTTTGTCCCCGCTCTCTGCTGTCGGAGCGTCACGTTATGTAAACACGCGGACTTTATCTGTATCTTCTGCCCCAAACGTGTCAGGGAGCTCTGTGCTGCCTTCCTCCCCCATCCCAGCAACCACCGCGCCGATGTAGTGGCCAGGCGTGGCCACCTGCCCCGCTCGCCCCGGGCCCCGCCCGGCTCCGGCCGCTGGTCCACCTTGGGCGTCCACTCCGGCCTCGCGTCGCCTCGTTCTGGACTCTCCGACCCCGCGCTGCCGGCGGTGCTCATGGTGCTCGCGTCGCAGGAAGGGCGGGCTCCTGTGGGCGACACGGGCCGGGCGGCGGCTGGGACCCCGCGGCAGGCTGTCCCCGCCCAGGGTCCCCAGCCGGCCGACGCTCAGGCCCAGGGTCCACGGACTCGGGGGTCCCCCCCCCGCCCCGCCCGCCTGCGGTCAGCTGCGAGGGGCTCTCAGTTACGGGGCTTCGGGACCACGGTTGCGGGACTGGGGGTTCTCAGTGGAGATTTGGGGTCCCTCAGACTATTGACAGGACTGACTTGGATTCTTGGGGTTTGGGTCTTTGGGGTCCCTCGGGCTGAGAAGACTTGGGGTGTTTCCCTAGGGTGCAGGCCTTTGGGTCTCCCCGCGCTGAAGGGGCTGCTTCCGGGCTGAGAGGACGCGGGAAGTCTGCCCCTGAGGAGAGGGAACAGGTTCCTCAGCGTATTTGGGGTCCCTCAGGGCGGCAGGTTTGGGGGTCTGTTGAGAGAATTGGGAGCCTCGCAGGAGAGGATGGGGTCTCTCAGGCTGAGAATGGAAGTTCTCCCTCAGGGCTCACGAGGGTCGCGCACGCACCTCGAAGTTCCGAGTTCTGTCAGCCTCGCCGGCGCCAGCACGCGCTGTGGTCCTCTGCTCGCGCTCAGCCCCTCTCCACTTGCCCACAAGCCGCCAATCAGAGCTTCGGCCAAAGAGACTCCCACCAATTGGCGCTCAGGAGGGCTAAGGAGGTGGGGGGCGGAGCCATGCTTGTCAGTCCTGGGCCCAGTGGAAGGTCCCGCCCCCCCGCGGGGGGCGTGTCCAGAGCTGGGGGTGTGGCTCAAGTGGTACGCTTGAGCACATTTGCCTGGTAAGGCCCAGAGTTCAATCATAGTACTGCACAAAAAAAAAAAAAAGAGACAGCCTGTAGCGCACAGGCACATTCTTGAGGCCTTGGCTGCCTAGGGGTTAGGGTTAGGGTTAGGGTTAGGGTTAGGGTTAGGGTTAGGGTTTAGGGTTAGGGTTAGGGTTAGGGTTAGGGTTAGGGTTAGGGTTAGGGTTAGGGTTAGGGTTAGGGTTAGGGTTAGGGTTAGGGTTAGGGTTAGGTTAGGGTTAGGGTTAGGGTTCGGGTTAGGGTTAGGTTAGGTTAGGGTTAGGGTTAGGGTTAGGGTTAGGGTTAGGGTTAGGGTTAGGGTTAGGGTTAGGGTTAGGGTTAGGGTTAGGGTTAGGGTTCGGGTTAGGGTTAGGGTTCGGGTTAGGGTTAGGGTTAGGGTTAGGGTTAGGGTTAGGGTTAGGGTTAGGGTTAGGGTTAGGGTTAGGGTTAGGGTTAGGGTTAGGGTTAGGGTTAGGGTTAGGGTTAGGGTTAGGGTTAGGGTTAGGGTTAGGGTTAGGGTTAGGGTTAGGGTTAGGGTTAGGGTTAGGGTTAGGGTTAGGGTTAGGGTTAGGGTTAGGGTTAGGGTTAGGGTTAGGGTTAGGGTTAGGTTAGGGTTGGGGTTAGGGTTAGGGTTAGGGTTAGGGTTAGGGTTAGGGTTAGGGGTTAGGGTTAGGGTTAGGGTTAGGGTTAGGGTTAGGTTAGGGTTAGGGTTAGGTTAGGGTTAGGGTTAGGGTTAGGGTTAGGGTTAGGGTTAGGGTTAGGGTTAGGGTTAGGGTTAGGGTTAGGGTTAGGGTTAGGGTTAGGGTTAGGGTTAGGGTTAGGGTTAGGGTTAGGGTTAGGGTTAGGGTTAGGGTTAGGGTTAGGGTTAGGGTTAGGGTTAGGGTTAGGGTTAGGGTTAGGGTTAGGGTTAGGGTTAGGGTTAGGGTTAGGGTTAGGGTTAGGGTTAGGGTTAGGGTTAGGGTTAGGGTTAGGGTTAGGGTTAGGGTTAGGGTTAGGGTTAGGGTTAGGGTTAGGGTTAGGGTTAGGGTTAGGGTTAGGGTTAGGGTTAGGGTTAGGGTTAGGGTTAGGGTTAGGGTTAGGGTTAGGGTTAGGGTTAGGGTTAGGGTTAGGGTTAGGGTTAGGGTTAGGGTTAGGGTTAGGGTTAGGGTTAGGGTTAGGGTTAGGGTTAGGGTTAGGGTTAGGGTTAGGGTTAGGGTTAGGGTTAGGGTTAGGGTTAGGGTTAGGGTTAGGGTTAGGGTTAGGGTTAGGGTTAGGGTTAGGGTTAGGGTTAGGGTTAGGGTTAGGGTTAGGGTTAGGGTTAGGGTTAGGGTTAGGGTTAGGGTTAGGGTTAGGGTTAGGGTTAGGGTTAGGGTTAGGGTTAGGGTTAGGGTTAGGGTTAGGGTTAGGGTTAGGGTTAGGGTTAGGGGTTAGGGTTAGGGTTAGGGTTAGGGTTAGGGTTAGGGTTAGGGTTAGGTTAGGGTTAGGGTTAGGGTTAGGGTTAGGGTTAGGGTTAGGGTTAGGGTTAGGGTTAGGGTTAGGGTTAGGGTTAGGGTTAGGGTTAGGGTTAGGGTTAGGGTTAGGGTTAGGGTTAGGGTTAGGGTTAGGGTTAGGGTTAGGGTTAGGGTTAGGGTTAGGGTTAGGGTTAGGGTTAGGGTTAGGGTTAGGGTTAGGGTTAGGGTTAGGGTTAGGGTTAGGGTTAGGGTTAGGGTTAGGGTTAGGGTTAGGGTTAGGGTTAGGGTTAGGGTTAGGGTTAGGGTTAGGGTTAGGGTTAGGGTTAGGGTTAGGGTTAGGGTTAGGGTTAGGGTTAGGGTTAGGGTTAGGGTTAGGGTTAGGTTAGGTTAGGGTTAGGGTTAGGGTTAGGGTTAGGGTTAGGGTTAGGGTTAGGGTTAGGGTTAGGGTTAGGGTTAGGGTTAGGGTTAGGGTTAGGGTTAGGGTTAGGGTTAGGGTTAGGGTTAGGGTTAGGGTTAGGGTTAGGGTTAGGGTTAGGGTTAGGGTTAGGGTTAGGGTTAGGGTTAGGGTTAGGGTTAGGGTTAGGGTTAGGGTTAGGGTTAGGGTTAGGGTTAGGGTTAGGGTTAGGGTTAGGGTTAGGGTTAGGGTTAGGGTTAGGGTTAGGGTTAGGGTTAGGGTTAGGGTTAGGGTTAGGGTTAGGGTTAGGGTTAGGGTTAGGGTTAGGGTTAGGGTTAGGGTTAGGGTTAGGGTTAGGGTTAGGGTTAGGGTTAGGGTTAGGTTAGGGTTAGGGTTAGGGTTAGGGTTAGGGTTAGGGTTAGGGTTAGGGTTAGGGTTAGGGTTAGGGTTAGGGTTAGGGTTAGGGTTAGGGTTAGGGTTAGGGTTAGGGTTAGGGTTAGGGTTAGGGTTAGGGTTAGGGTTAGGGTTAGGGTTAGGGTTAGGGTTAGGGTTAGGGTTAGGGTTAGGGTTAGGGTTAGGGTTAGGGTTAGGGTTAGGGTTAGGGTTAGGGTTAGGGTTAGGGTTAGGGTTAGGGTTAGGGTTAGGGTTAGGGTTAGGGTTAGGTTAGGGTTAGGGTTAGGGTTAGGGTTAGGGTTAGGGTTAGGGTTAGGGTTAGGGTTAGGGTTAGGGTTAGGGTTAGGGTTAGGGTTAGGGTTAGGGTTAGGGTTAGGGTTAGGGTTAGGGTTAGGGTTAGGGTTAGGGTTAGGGTTAGGGTTAGGGTTAGGGTTAGGGTTAGGGTTAGGGTTAGGGTTAGGGTTAGGGTTAGGGTTAGGGTTAGGGTTAGGGTTAGGGTTAGGGTTAGGGTTAGGGTTAGGGTTAGGGTTAGGGTTAGGGTTAGGGTTAGGGTTAGGGTTAGGGTTAGGGTTAGGGTTAGGGTTAGGGTTAGGGTTAGGGTTAGGGTTAGGGTTAGGGTTAGGGTTAGGGTTAGGGTTAGGGTTAGGGTTAGGGTTAGGGTTAGGGTTAGGGTTAGGGTTAGGGTTAGGGTTAGGGTTAGGGTTAGGGTTAGGGTTAGGGTTAGGGTTAGGGTTAGGGTTAGGGTTAGGGTTAGGGTTAGGGTTAGGGTTAGGGTTAGGGTTAGGGTTAGGGTTAGGGTTAGGGTTAGGGTTAGGGTTAGGGTTAGGGTTAGGGTTAGGGTTAGGGTTAGGGTTAGGGTTAGGGTTAGGGTTAGGGTTAGGGTTAGGGTTAGGGTTAGGGTTAGGGTTAGGGTTAGGGTTAGGGTTAGGGTTAGGGTTAGGGTTAGGGTTAGGGTTAGGTTAGGGTTAGGGTTAGGGTTAGGGTTAGGGTTAGGGTTAGGGTTAGGGTTAGGGTTAGGGTTAGGGTTAGGGTTAGGGTTAGGGTTAGGGTTAGGGTTAGGGTTAGGGTTAGGGTTAGGGTTAGGGTTAGGGTTAGGGTTAGGGTTAGGGTTAGGGTTAGGGTTAGGGTTAGGGTTAGGGTTAGGGTTAGGGTTAGGGTTAGGGTTAGGGTTAGGGTTAGGGTTAGGGTTAGGGTTAGGGTTAGGGTTAGGGTTAGGGTTAGGGTTAGGGTTAGGGTTAGGGTTAGGGTTAGGGTTAGGGTTAGGGTTAGGGTTAGGGTTAGGGTTAGGGTTAGGGTTAGGGTTAGGGTTAGGGTTAGGGTTAGGGTTAGGGTTAGGGTTAGGGTTAGGGTTAGGGTTAGGGTTAGGGTTAGGGTTAGGGTTAGGGTTAGGGTTAGGGTTAGGGTTAGGGTTAGGGTTAGGGTTAGGGTTAGGGTTAGGGTTAGGGTTAGGGTTAGGGTTAGGGTTAGGGTTAGGGTTAGGGTTAGGGTTAGGGTTAGGGTTAGGGTTAGGGTTAGGGTTAGGGTTAGGGTTAGGGTTAGGGTTAGGGTTAGGGTTAGGGTTAGGGTTAGGGTTAGGGTTAGGGTTAGGGTTAGGGTTAGGGTTAGGGTTAGGGTTAGGGTTAGGGTTAGGGTTAGGGTTAGGGTTAGGGTTAGGGTTAGGGTTAGGGTTAGGGTTAGGGTTAGGGTTAGGGTTAGGGTTAGGGTTAGGGTTAGGGTTAGGGTTAGGGTTAGGGTTAGGGTTAGGGTTAGGGTTAGGGTTAGGGTTAGGGTTAGGGTTAGGTTAGGGTTAGGGTTAGGGTTAGGGTTAGGGTTAGGGTTAGGGTTAGGGTTAGGGTTAGGGTTAGGGTTAGGGTTAGGGTTAGGGTTAGGGTTAGGGTTAGGGTTAGGGTTAGGGTTAGGGTTAGGGTTAGGGTTAGGGTTAGGGTTAGGGTTAGGGTTAGGGTTAGGGTTAGGGTTAGGGTTAGGGTTAGGGTTAGGGTTAGGGTTAGGGTTAGGGTTAGGGTTAGGGTTAGGGTTAGGGTTAGGGTTAGGGTTAGGGTTAGGGTTAGGGTTAGGGTTAGGGTTAGGGTTAGGGTTAGGGTTAGGGTTAGGGTTAGGGTTAGGGTTAGGGTTAGGGTTAGGGTTAGGGTTAGGGTTAGGGTTAGGGTTAGGGTTAGGGTTAGGGTTAGGGTTAGGGTTAGGGTTAGGGTTAGGGTTAGGGTTAGGGTTAGGGTTAGGGTTAGGGTTAGGGTTAGGGTTAGGGTTAGGGTTAGGGTTAGGGTTAGGGTTAGGGTTAGGGTTAGGGTTAGGGTTAGGGTTAGGGTTAGGGTTAGGGTTAGGGTTAGGGTTAGGGTTAGGGTTAGGGTTAGGGTTAGGGTTAGGGTTAGGGTTAGGGTTAGGGTTAGGGTTAGGGTTAGGGTTAGGGTTAGGGTTAGGGTTAGGGTTAGGGTTAGGGTTAGGGTTAGGGTTAGGGTTAGGGTTAGGGTTAGGGTTAGGGTTAGGGTTAGGGTTAGGGTTAGGGTTAGGGTTAGGGTTAGGGTTAGGGTTAGGTTAGGGTTAGGGTTAGGGTTAGGGTTAGGGTTAGGGTTAGGGTTAGGGTTAGGGTTAGGGTTAGGGTTAGGGTTAGGGTTAGG